CCCTTCGAGGACAAAATGGTATGGGTGCCCTACTGCAGAGGGGTAGCGGTCAGCGGCACGTACATCGTTAAGCAGTGGCCTTTCATGGTCGCTGCTTGCATGACCGTACACAGAGTGCAAGGGGTAGGGTTCGAAAGGGTGGCCGTGTGGATTCCCTCTAGAGGGTTCTTCGCCCAGGGTCAGGGGTATACCGCCGTGTCCAGGGGGAAAACTCTAGACGGCCTGTTCCTCGTGTTACCAGACGATGTCTTGCAGGACAGAGAGTTAGCAAGAGAGTTCCTCAAGGAGGCGTTCCAACCGCCCATCGATGCCATCAACGCTCTAGCCGACATGCGACAAAAGGCACCGGCCACTGTTACGGTTAACGTGAGGGGTAGGGGAGTTGCGTACGCCACGCTGTGGGACGAAAGACGGTCATACTACGCCCCAGACGGGTGGGCGGGTGTGTGGCCTGGAGTTCTGTACAACGGTTTAGGTGGGGCAACACGTGTCGAGGGGGAGTATGCACTTGCTGAACGGTCGAACAATTATTCACCTTGTGCAATAGAAGGAGAGGAGAGGCACACCGGTGTGTGACGAAGCACATAATAAGGAACTCCTCGAAAGGGGGAACATGACGCTGCTGCGGACAAACTGCCTTTGAGTACATGCGAGCAACACGGCACTCCTGTGACGCACACTGCACGACGCTCGGAACCCCGTTAAGTGCCTTCGAGCGAAGCGAGTCACACAACACTGTGACCGCACACTGCACCGCGCCCGAAACCTCGCCTATTGCCTTCGAGCGAAGCGAGTCACACGGCACTGTAACCGCACACTGCACCGCGTCCGGAACCTCGTGAAGTGTGTCTGCGAGCGAAGCGAGTTACGATGCCACTTTGTCTTACTCCAAAACCATTACACGAACAACAACACACCAAACCAGGCTATGAATTTTTGATGAGATGCAACAATGGTAAGGCGGACATCCGAGAGCCCGACGACACGATAAAAATACTACCTGGAATAAAATACAGTCACCACAGCTGCGCCAACCTGAGAATCCCAGAGCAAATGGTCGTCCGGCCAACCATGAACGAAGAGAACAACAGGTCCATCCTCTTTGCCGGAGGAAAAAGTCCGTAACCCCGGTTGGTCATCAACAATTGCGTTGTAGTTGGAGGACATGGCTTACCGTCGCGAGAGGCAGACGGCAATTTCTGGTCAGCTGGTCAGTATCACCGGCCCGAGGACCCGCCGCGCGAGTTGCGCCGCGATCGGGGCTTCGCGGAATGATGAGGGCGTCATGAGGGTATACTGGTATTCATAGTCTCCTTCCACGGACCCCCAGAGATGGAGTCAGCAAGTGTGGAGTGTAGAGTGAGTGTCCTCCGGCAGCTATGTAGTTCCTCTCATCTCGCTCTCTCTCTCTCGCTCTCTGCTTCCTATCACGTCGCCTAGGAGAAGACAAGACCAAGATGCTGAAAAGTCACGCGCCTTCGCGGATTGGCCAGAGGAGTTTGAAACGACAGAAAACCAAAGCGGCAGGATCCGACGACGACTCCTCAACGGCTGCATCTCGCAAGGCGGCTGCCGGGCGCTTCTCCGTCGCGAGTGCTCCAGTGGTCGGGGGTAGATTGCCCATTCGTGCGGCATTCAAGGTATCGATCAATGGCGAACAGCCCCGACAGGCGCTGCGCGGGTGGCAAGAACCGCGCAATGAAAACAAAATGAAGGCGACAACGGCGGTTCAAAAAATTGGTCGCAGGAGCCTCAGCCGGGAGCGCACCGCAGGAGCACTTAGCAGCAGCAGCAGCAGCAACAGCAGCAGCAGCAGCAGCAGCAGCAGCAGCAGGGTAGAAGCAACGAAACCTTCGCATGCAGTGTCCTCTGCCGCTGCTGGCCTCATGAGGCGCGTGAAAGCGAGAGAGCAAAAGCAATCAACGGCGGCCCCAGATTCAAGCAGCGGAGACATCGAATGGAGAGTGCCGTCGCCATCATCATGTTCGACCAAGCCGCCACCGCCGCCGCCGTCGCATCCGCCCTCAAACATACCACCATGCACAAGGAGCGTTACCGACAACAGCGCCAACGGAACAACCAGTAACAAAACCCCTTCTCGAGTCGTTCGGAAGAGTAGCACCATCACCGGAGCTAGCCCACGCAAGAAACTCGGTTCGTCGACATCCACAGCAGTAGCAGCAGTGGCAGCAGGGCATGAGGCGGAAGAGGAGCAGCTTCCGCCGTGCCCATATCCAGGACATCAGAACGTTTCCTGGACGTGTCGGGCATGCGGCGGAGCGAAGCACCACCTGACTTCGCGTTCCGCCATGGAGCCGCTGCAGCGGGCACACGGCTTCAAGGTGTGTTCAATCAAAGACTGATGAAACATGAGCCTACAGAAGCACATCCAGCTGGAGCGCTCGAAATTTTGGCCGACTACCGTATGTTGCCTGAGGCATCACACACCCTGAACCGAATTTCGAAGCTCGATGTCTAAGCAGGAAAAGTAGTGACGGTGCCGAAAATGGCGGCGTTGAAACCCTCACGTTGAGAGCTTTCGGAAAACGTATACTTCAATTTCGGCATCCTCTTCGTCGTGGAGTTATCGAGCTTTGAAAAATCGGTCCAGTGCGATAGTTTACGCAACACTCGGTAGTGGGTGAGGTTCGAAGAATCCCACAAGATCGTTCCGTCTTGGTACATGTAGTGGGAGAGACTGCTGTGGAAGTATCCTCGCACCGTCTCTTGTCCGTGTTGCATACTTCATCTCTATGAGAAACGTGGGCACCCCGCGGCGGTTATGGCCTCTTGATCATGTAACCCGCTCTATCAGTGCGCTACTACTGCACCCTGTCTGGCTGTTTCGTTTCCGTCGCGCGCCTGCGCCCCGCGTCGGCTCATCTGACGACACCACACCACACCACAATCATAGGTGCATCGTGTTCCAAACGATGGAGATTGCTTCTTCTCCTCGATCAAGGCAGCCTTGCCAGCGGCAGAACTAGCGAGGGGCGATGAAGGCGGGGGCGCGGCGGCAGGTGCGGGGTCGGCCCTCACGGTACGACAGATGCGCGAGTGGGTGGCGGAGGAGATGGGTCAGGACCAGCTGGACTTCTACATCCTTCAGGCCGGCGCGAACCCCGAGGATAGGTGGTAGGTTGAACGGTTTCAGTTCCTCGAAAGGGCCGCCTGCGCGCACACGTTCAATTGACTTGTTGCGCGGCCGGTGCCTGCGTGCCGGTTGGCTGGACGCAAGGTATGCTTTTTTTGCGGCCCCAGGTGGAGACAGGGGGAATGACGTGCAACTTTACATGACTGCGGGCGCAAAGTTGCTGGTTCTGCCTCCCAGCTCGTTTTGACGCAGTCGCCGTCGTGTCGTTTGGTGTTCTTTGCGATACTGATCTTTGTGTTTTCCTTGGAGAATCTCCCCCCGCCGTGACATCAACTTCACCTCAAAATATCGCTGGCATCCAGTTACCCGAAGGCTCTTCCTTGGTTTTTGTTTTGTGTCCGCCTTCCCGGTTCTGAGGTCTCCCCAAGGGTGCTGTTGTTCTTCGTATTGTTTGGCCGCCCTTCGGTGCGTCACTTACAATGTTCGCAAGAGGTTCATTCGTGTAGGGGTGTTGTGGCTGTCGTTGTGTCGTTGTGGCTGGTTGTCCCAACACTACTGCTGTTTTGTCATGGTGTGTGTCGCTCCCCTTGCCTGCAAGGGTTAGTTTTGGATGTTTTGAAACATCTGATTTCGGTATTTTCGCCAAGATTTCAACATTGGGTGCTCGCGGCGCGACTGCTCCGCACTGTGTACGCTCAGCGATGGTCGTTTGCTTTTTCGCTTGATTTGCTTTGACGGCTCCTGACAGTTCGCATCAAACACCCTGGTCGGTTGATCAACAGAGTTGCTTCAGTCTTAGCGGAGGAGGTTACTCGTTCCTCGCCTTGCAGGACGCCAGAGTCAAGAGGGGACAACACGGTACGCTCATCTGCAATCTTGGCATCGATCGCACGCAGTGAAGATAGTTATTCTCATGTTTGATTTTGTGCACGGCCGTTACACGTTTTTTGCTTCCCGCCCGATTTCGGTTAGGCTGGACTTCGTGCGCCCGCTGGTAGACAGGATACCGAGCGACGACGAAGAGGAGGAGGAGGAGGAGGGAGAAGAGGACGAAGACGACAGCTACCGGGAGGAAACCGAGGACGAAGCTTCGCAGTCGCAACCCCAACAGAGCACAGCCACCTCTCGCAAACCGCCATCATCCCGATCTCGACCGTCCCGTGCAGAAGCAGCAGCAGCGGCGGCACCACGAACCCCGAAGGCTCCTGGCTCAGGCGGGGGCGGCGTGGCACGCGGCAGGGGGAAAGGAAGGACGGGAAGCGATCAACCGGAAGGGAAAAAGTCTACCTCGCGGAGGAGCGCCAAGGCGGACGACATTGATGCCCCTGAGGATAGCGGGTGCACCACTTTGGCCGCCGTGGTGTCGCCGCGGTCGTCATCAAGCGACCGCAACGCTCGTTACCTCCGTAGGCGTGAGGGAAGAGGGCTGTCGGCAGCGGCGGCCGCGGCGGCGACCACGAAGGCGGCAGCTTCGACGAACAAGAATTTGAAAGCGAAATCGTCATCGACTCAGCAAAGAACGACAGCGAAGGCGGAGGCAGGGAGTTCGTCTCGGAGGAGTTCTAGGTCCAGGAAGGGAAAGGCGACGAGTCCACGGCGCGTTGGCGAGGAAGGCAGTGGAGGAGATGAGCAGGAGAAGGAGGAGGAGGAGGAGGAG